AGTTTAAGAATGACTTACTCTATTTCAAGAGACAATTATACATTCCAAAAGGTAGGACACAATTACATATTCTTCAAACTCGCCATGACTTTTTAATAGTCGAACATTTTGGATACAACAAGACTTTGGAGCTAATATCTAAAGATTTTTGGTGGCTTCAAATGTGGAAGGCAGTTAAAGTCTTTATACAATCATATGATATTTGCTCAAGATCCAAAATTCCTTGCCATCAATCTTATGGACTTCTTTAGCTATTATCTATTCTAAAACAATTATGGTCTTCTGTTTCTATAGATTTTATTATGGATCTTTCAGTTTCAAGTTTGTATGATTTTATATTTATGGGAGTAGATTATTTTACCAAGTTTCCATATTTTGTATCATGTACAAAATCTATCACAGGTGAAAAAAATGGCTAAGATTTTTTTTAACAACATCTATAGCTATCACGAATTACCTAAAGATATTATATTGAATAGAGAGACTCAATTTATATCAAGTTTTTGGAGAATTCTTTTTGAGATTTTAAAGGTGGATATAAAGATCTCTTCAACTTTTCATCTTCAAATTCATGGGTAAACAAAATGGGTGAATAAAGTTTTGGAGTAGTAGTTGAGGTGTACTATCAACTATCATTAAGATGATTAGACAACTCTTTTATCATTGGCAAAGTTTACGTGCAATAATTTGATACATTCTTCCATTCAATAAACACCTTTCTTTGCCAATTAAAGTTATCATCTACGACTTGATACTTTTAACTTTTCAATAGTTGATAATGTTGTGATGGAAGATTTAACAAATTATTTGCGAGAGCTACATATAACAATCAAGGTGCAATTAAAAAGAATTCAAGAATAACAAAAAAATAATATAGATGCTTATTGTAAGGAACAACTATAATTCAATGTGGGTGATAAGATATGATTACTTTATCGCAATATCAAGACTACTTATCTTTATGACAAATTGAACTATTGTAGGCTTGGACCTTTTTCTATTAGTGAACATGTCAATCTTATTGCTTATCAATTATATCTATGAAAGTACATGAAGATTCACCCCATATTTCATGTGATTCTTTTTGAGCCATATAAGAAAGTGAATATCTTGGAAAGAAGACAAATGCCACTTCTTCCTATAGAAGTAGATAATAATCAAAAATTTGAAGTAGAAGAAGTCTTAAATTCAAGGCAACACTAAAATAGGTTAAAATATCTTATTCATTGGCATAGATATGATATTAGTGAACATATATGAGAGCCATCAAAGAATCTTATAAATATAGAAAAGAAAATTGAAGCTTTTTATTGATAACATCCATCAAAGCCAAAATGAAGAATAGCATATCTTTGCTATAAAAAAAACAAAATCCAAGGAAGATAACATTCTACCTTCTATTTTATTTTGTAGCTTTTATATATTTGTGATGCTAAAGAGATGGAAACTAATAATCAATAGATTCAATTTAAAAGCTTTTACTTGTTGACTTACTGAACAAAACATTGTGATTGTCACAATCTTCAAGACAACGTAATCAAGATGAAGATTGTCAAGAATAGCATATCTTTTTTTGAATAGATGGCAAGATACGACGTATTTGGAATCACAATCTTAGAAGAAACTTCCAATGTTTGGTGATTTTATTAGAGATAGGAACAACTCTTGATAGTGTTTTAAATATTTTATTTGAAAGAAGTTATAAAGGCCTCAACAATAATCAAATAACAAAGTAGTCTTTTATTGTGGAATAAAATACCATTAATAGTTAAAAGAACCTTTCAACCATCTTTAAAGAAAACAAAGATCAAAATATATGGTAGATATAGTTTACATCTTAGATTTCATCAATACATGATAACTGCACTTCGTGGAACTTATCCCTATAAAGAGGGGTAATATCACGAATATACATAAATATTTTAATAAATATCTATATGATTAAGTAAAAATAAGTAAAAATAAATAAAAATAGATTAATTTTATAATATCTTTTAGAGAAGCTTTTTAAAAGCTTCATAGATGTTGCTTTGACTTTACATATATTAGTAGTTGATTCGTAGGTTAGAAACTTGGTTAACAAGTTAACCATATATTGATAGCTTGCTAAAAAAGTTAACTATGTGGTGCACATATAAAAAACTTACCTTTTTAGTTAAGATACAAGTCTTGTAAAGTCAACACATTTTAGAGGTCTATAGGACATCACCATATAGCTCATAGTTAAGACTATATATGGAGGCAAGAGTGAAGCTTTTTTCATTCTTCTCAATGCCTTTTAGTCAGTCTTATTTCAAGTCTTTTTAGTCTTCTTGTTTTTCACAGTAACCATTCTAATTTAATATTATATCATCTTTGAGTGACTTTCTCATTCTTTTTAGTAATATAAGAGTTTATTGAAGATTTCTTTTTTCAAGATTCATGTCCTTGACAAGAGTCTACTTCCAAATAATATTTCATCTATGAATCCAACTTAATTAAGTTTTTTATAATATTAAAAATAATATAATTTTAAATAATATTTTATTTATTATAGAAATCTTCAAAATTTTAATTTTCTTCCATCAAACTTCTTAGGCATAATAATCTTTGTATCTTTTATACTTGTAATAGTAAGACTTTTTAGTTGTACTTCTAAGATTGACCTACTTGCTTCTTTCAACTATATAACTTCTTAGCATAGACATTTGACCTCATTGTTGGTTTCTTCTATAGATGCTAAAATAATATTTTCATAGTTTACAATGGTAATGTATGAAATTTTGGCTTTAAGAATATTAACAAGCTTATAAAGATTTATAATGGTTGCGGAGCTATTCTCACTTCTATTGAATGTAACATCTATATATTTTTTTCTTTTATTTGTATATATATATATATATATATATATATATATATATATATATATATAAATAAATCTATAAATAAAATTAGAATAGAATAAATAACTTTTAATATCAAATAAAAATTTTTACAAAAAAAATAGTTTTATCTCATTAAGAAAAAAATCAATGTTAGAAAATAAAAAATATTAGTTTAAAATTGGATTATTTGCAACCTTTAAAACATACTAATAAGAGGTCAAAGAATCTAATTATTTTTTAAAAAAATAAGATAACAAATTAATACTCTAGTCAAATTGTCAAAGAGATAAATTTTAATCAAAATCTAAAGAAAAAATATGTTCTTGTGATATTAAAAGAAACAAAATAGACAAATTAAAGATAGATAAAAGATGGAAATTAAGATGGTTATTGCTAAATATACAAAGATTAGAGATTCTTGAATTAAGATAAAAACACATGAAAGGCCTTGACAAAAGTGAAAAAATCATCACTTTTTTTTCTTCATATATACTTTCTAACTAAAGAGCTACATGGCAATGTTTTATAGGTCATCTAGCAATGTCTAAGTTGCAAAATACATGACTAACTTATAAGTAAGTTTTCAACATCTACGCTACATGGTCAACTTGTACTACAAATGATCAATTTGTACAAGATGTGGTCAACATGTATAATATGTGGCTAACTTATCTACTAAATTTTTAACCTACAATCACTTACAAATACTTGAAAAGTCAAATTTTTATTTACATAACTTCTAAGAAGCTTCTCCATGTGATATTATCAAATTTTTTGACTTTTACTTACTTCTACTTAATTCCTTTTAACTTAGTAGTCAATATCCTCATGACATCTTCATATATATTAGCTACTAAGAAGGCCTTTAAGAAGCTTTTTAAAAACCACAAGACTTATGGCCTAAATAAGAAGTTATAGATTGCTTTCAAGAAGACTTTTTAAAAGTATGAAATTATGAAATAAGTTTCAATGGCCACATGACATCTCTATAGAAAACTCAAGATCTAATATATATATTTTAGAAATTTTGTTAAGATAAATATTATTTATCTAATATATTCTACATATTTTGCATATTTTTATTTATTTCTATTTACTTAAATAATAGATGCCTATAACAATTTATAGTGGTCAAGTTCATCTATCTAATACATAAATGACTTAATATAATTTATTCTATAAGCATTATAAAAGAATTCATGATAAAGCTCTAACTTCCTATTTTATAAGTTGTGAGAAGTATTTATTGTCTAATAATAAGACCTTATTCTATTGCACCTTATTAAGACTAAGTAATAATTATTAGATGTATTAATTTCAATTATGGTAAGTACTTGGAATATGTAAAATTAACAAAAAAAAATAGTTTAATTTAAAAAAATATAATTTATATAATTTATTATTGTAATTTTAAGTCAAAATGCAAAAATACTCAATTTTTTAAAATAGAGTTGAAAAAATGGTATAGTTGAAGACTTGAGCATTAATATTTTAATATATGTTATTATCTATAGTGATAATAAAAATTATATTATTTTAACAAATAATCTCGTTTTTTAAATTTAATAACTTAACATGTTTATTATTTATTACCATTTTATTTAGGACAAGATTTGAAACATTTTTTTAAAAATCTAGTAAGCTAGGTGTCCAGATAACTATCTTTATTATATATGTTCTCTATCTACTTGTTCATTCTCTTTGTCAAAAGAATTAAGATCTTCTACATATTATACAAATTCAAATACATATGGAAAGAAACATGATCACAAAAATCAAGTAGTATTAGAATTAGAGATGATGTAGAACTTCTATTGTCATCATCCTCAACTATTCATATTCAAAATTAGATTAAATGCACTACTGTGCACGAATGATAATTGTTGTACAAGTGATGCCATGATTATAGGATTGGTTGCTACCAATCATAAACCCTGAGTTTTGACATGTGATTGTTGTGACCACATGAGTTAAGCTGCTCTTGTCAACATAAATCCTGCCAGTACAGTGTATTCTTCTTCACTAGTTTCGTAGATTTGCTATGCTTAATGGGCATTAGAAATTTATTCTTGTTTCATCAAATCTCTCTTTCAGTTACCTTACAGTTGACCCAGTTCGAGGACCAATTGGAATGAATTTGATTGTAACATAACCTTCTCCACATGACTTGGATGTAACTTTCATTACGTATAGCGATTTTGAAGTACATTAATTTTTGGAATTGCATATTTCTAATTAGCCTAGTCTAATAACCAGAATACGAGCTTAAGTGTGACAAGATATACCTTACGTTGATTGCCACACTACACCGGACTTGATATATCCAAGCGGCTTTCTATCGTCTACAATTTAATGACTGATTCTTCAAGGATAGTCTGCAATAACGAGCTGGAGAGTACCATAATCGATGCAGCGTTATGCAGATCAACTACTGTAGCATTTCTATTCTAAAGAATCAGATTTTGATGGCGAAGACCGGGCAGTTCTTGGTGATAAACTGCAATTAAACGAAGATCATATTTAAGCACAGTTTTTTTTGCCATGAAGGAATACTACCGAATACCACATCGTTGAAAATGCATTACTATGAACTACATTAATACTATCTACTTTAGAATGATCGAATCACATTAGAGAACTAAAACAGACTCTGGGTACATACCTCCGTGACCAAGATTTTCCTGCTCCTTGTCCATTAGTGTCAGGGCTTGATGACCTCTTTGCAGCAGGGCTTCCAAGAGGAGAAGCGTTATGTTTGCAGCTACGCTTGTCACGCCCAGCAAGCCGGTCTCTGCAAAAGGCACGGAGTCTATTTTACGAGGAGAAACATTTTTAAGAGTGGAGCCCTCTCACCTTTATAAAATTACTATGTTGTGACAGATTTCTGTCCATGATGGAGTTATAGGAATGTCTTTGCTGTCCTCATTGACCATTGAAACATGGATCTTAAAAGTAAAGTATCAACAAGTTGCACACCAAGGGGAGCATGTGGTGAAAGGATGTTCCTACAGCCCTCTTTGTGCGATTTACTCAAAAACATTCCCACAAATATTAAAAGTGAGGTAAAGGTCAGTTTCATTGACATGAAACTTAAGATCACTGACCGTGAGGAGTGGCGTCTAGTCGGCGGCGAGCGTGATGGCGACACAGCTGTGAGACATCAGATGTATAAATTATCATCAACAGCTCCAAAATACCAATTCTTTTCAAGTGGAATTAGAACGCAACGTTCTTAATTCAGAAATCTATATAACTTTCTAGGGCTTATGTAAACATTATCAGTAACTTCAATGATTTCTGCTCTGAAACACAATATTTTCCAAGCAAAAGAAAGGGATTTTAACGTCAGGAGTTCATGTGTTCGTACATCTGAAGCGACGACCAGGGGATCGTCTCCGATACTTATCACTATTGAAGCCGCCACCTCGGTTCCCACCATGTCCGTGACTCAAACCTCGACCAGTTGGAGTGCTGCAATCTCGATTACTCAATTAGTAAGGAGTGTCATGATTACACTGCATGGTTTACTAAAAATATACTTCAGTAATGATAATCAGCATGTATGAAAAAGATTCTTGCTGATTATCTGAAGTTGCACCATTCTCAAGTATGTACATGGGAATTCTCAATGATGATTAAATCTCCTCACCTTGAACGCTCCTTCACTCGCATCTCGGAAGGTTTCTTTCGATTTTCTTCTGCAAACACAACAGTTATTTCGCGTCCAGCTATGAACTGTCGATCCATGTGATATTGAGCATCAGCCGCATCTGCAGGATCCAGGTACTGGATAAACCCGAAGCCACGGGGCTCTCTGCAAAAGAAACACTAGCACATTAGCAATGCTTAGAGGAGCATCTTTGATGGCGCCAAGAGTAAGTGAAAGGATCTTGAATGCCATGGCATGCATGTCTGCTTCGAGGAGAGTATTGAAGTAACCACAGGTTCAGGGAGTGCTGCGAGTTTCCACCTTGTAGAGCCAATTACGAAGTTATTCAGTTCAGAATTGTCGAGAGAACACATCCCGTTTCTCACATCTACCACCCACGATCATATATCGCCCAAATGAGCTGGTGTGACTTCCTAATGTGGTTTTCGCGTTGTAGTCATATTCTGAGGAAGCTAAGGTGTCGAAACGAAGAGGGAAGGACTTCCAGTGGGCAATGTTGAGTGGCCTGTTGAAGGTGGCCAAAAAAAGGTGCTGGTCCTCTCATTGGGCACTAAGGCAGTCCCCCATGTAGGAACAGAAAGAGAAGCCTTAGTTAGCATACCTCAACCAACCCTCGCACAGGTATATTCTTCTCAGTGGTACAACAATCATATTATCTTCAAAATTCTTGAATTAAAACCTCCATTCTTCTTCCTTCGACTGAAGGCCTTGCAATCTCTTGACAACCTGCTGTTGCCCCCTCTCTTGCTGTTGCCCCTCTCTTGCTGTCTTCCTAGGTGGACCACTTTGAGCTTTTGGGGCTTTCTTCAAAACTTTCCCAAGATCTAACATTCTTGAAGTGCAAAATAAGTTTGGTAAGAAAAAAAAATCAATATTCTGGCCACTTGACCTTCAGACACGGGACTCCATACTTGTGACCAACTTCCGAGGCTCTCCAAGAAAAGGTTGTTGGTCGTTGTTCAACACTCTCTACTACCTCTTTTTATAACAAGGCTTCCAAGACCTGTACCACACTGGTGCCACCCAATGGCATCCAAATACACAAGCAATTCAAGGACCCGTATGCATAACCTTCAAATTGGGACAACATGCAACTCTATTCGGCAATCCCAATTTATTCCCTCGTTCCCTGAGTACCTCACATGTTTCACCACTTGAAACATGTTAAGATTGATGTCAGATGCCATAACTTCCAGATTTCAGCACTATCTACCGCCGATATATTTAAACTCAACAGACTTAATTTCGATGCCGTTGATCAAAGTCATCAGCAGCTCTGAATTAAATGTTCTCTACTAGGCCGGAAATAGTTGTCGTCCAGTCGGGCTATAAGGTAGGTTTCGAGCGAGGATAATTTTCCATATACAAATAAGTATTGGCTTGAAAAAGCAGACATACCCACTGTAGTAGTCCTTTGGAAGGTACACGTCTTTGACAGGCCCAAATCTTTCAAATGGAATCCGCACATCCTCTGGCCTGCAATCAGTGAGATATCCTACATAAGTTCGCAAAACATTTTAAGAACTAGGATCAGCATCACTGATCGCATTCACAAAGTGGACAAAACCGGGACTGAAAAGATGGTTGATTCTTGCTGCTGCCCCGGTGTAATTGAAGGCGCAATACCCTAAGTTACCAATCCACAATACAAGCGAACTAATTCAGGGCGGGTACAAGGGTTTCTGGCTGGAGTGCAACTGCAACAGTCCCCTGCTAAACACAGACAGAAGAAAGAGCTCGAACGACACAAAATAAAGGACTACAGTTTTTAACATCTCCGACACCCATTGATCTCGAACATCGAGCGACCCATCAACAAGAGAACGTCTCGTACATTTCAAGTGTTTCCTCGACTACTTCTTGTCACTGCCGCAGAAATTTATTACCCTCTAAAATAATTTGATCTTGACGAAAGAAATATCTAACAAAGGCTGGTGAAATTGTGAATGTCATTTCTCATTTCTGATGGTAACTACTTCTGCAGCTATGACAAATCATTAGAAGTAATGATCTAATATACAGATTAAGAGGTTTGCTACCATGTTGAAATTTGCGGTGCACAAGAATGTGTAAGCTTACTCTCAGTGACTAAATGCAGCTTTCCTAAGACCTCTCTGACATGAAGTGCTTTCACCAGACATGCCCCTTAAACAGTCGAACGTGGTGAGTCGACCATAAATGCTGATTTCTAAGGATGGGTCCAATGAGGATGCCTGGAATCTCGAGCTATGTTCCGAACGAGAAGGCTGGTAGGAGCACTCGAATAACGGCCGCCAAGCTCCCTCCCCCTCCAGGACTTTCTTCTGATTCCTCCATCATCCGCGTCCCGACGACGACTCCTTCGGGTTGGACTTCGGCTTCTATCCCGCCGTGCTATCGGACTGTAGCTCCGGCTCCTGGTCCTTCCCATCCTCTACCTCCAAACGAATAGCCCACTATATTAACCGATTAATAGAATATACAAAGTCAAGAAGAGGCATATACCCCCAGCACAACACTTCAAGACATGAAAATTTGATAGGCTCCTAAAGCCAGATTTCAGACGTAAACTAACTCTAAATTAAGCAGTTACGAATGCGAACTTGGTTATGACGGTTTCTCTCTTTACCAGATCAGACCGATGGAACAAACCATCAACCAAGCATACAGCCAAACCGAATGAGGACAGCGGGTGGCCCGTTTCAGAGACACCTAACCTTTAACATTGGATGGACAATCGCACAGTTGCCTACATTTGCAGCAAGAGGTGACGATCGTGTAAATCAGTAACTGCCAAGAACTTCTCAGCGGACCGAGGCAGACATTGAGAAGGCAATACTAAATCCATGCACAGCGTGTGTGAATACGCGGACAAGGACCGTCCACAAGGTGCAGAAAAATTGTCTCGGGATATGAGAACACAATGAGCAACACCTTTACACACACAGCACACCAGGAGCAAAGCCAAGGATACAACCACGACGTCGCCTTAAAACAACCTCTTATACGTTTCTTGAAAGGTAAAGCTCTGGTACCAACTTCGAGTTAGCCAAGCTCCAACGGTGTCAAACCACGACAGCAATTAAACTCTCGAAAGTGACGCAACTGAGTAGCAACTGCGCTTCACGATGCAGCCACACAGCAAAGAATACCAAAACCTCTACACACATATAACGGAATAGGATCCTCTGTGCAAGGTACACAAACTGAAAAGCACGTGAACACACAGAGTGCGAATTGCTTCACACTGCTGACTGCTCCAGACCCAACTACTTGCAAAGAAGTGATCCCCGGTGATGGAGAGCGGGGAGGTTGGAGCATCAGAGATAGGAAGCGCGGTAGTTACAGAGTCTCCATGAGCGACGAGCTTTGAGGCGGTTCAAGGCCTTTGGACTCCCCTGAACATTCTGTTGGACGAGGCACAAGTGAAAGATTAACAGCCTTCGTCCATGCCCATTTTCTCGTTCGTCCATTCTTCTTTGTGTTTCCAATTCTCCTATCTTGAAATGCTTGGAATGCTTGCAATGTTTGTGCGACAAAGCAGTTGCTGGGCACGGAAGCTACCTTACTGGGTTGTACTCCGCTACTAACGAGCAACATTCGTGAATTCTATCGACTTTTGGGGTTTCAAAAGATGCGGGTCTCCTGCTAGTCCTGTTGAAGATAGGAATTCTAGCCATAGATCAATAAAACAACCAGCAACGTCACAATAGCGCATCAAAATTACACACAGAAAGAGGAAAAGAATGCGGTGGTAAACTGGTCTCTGCCAAGCTCATGGTCTCAGGAAACCGAAGATCCTTTGGAAGCGTTCACCAGTAACTTGCTTAAACATCGACGTGTTGGTTTACAAAGAATCCGGAGAAGGTCCGACTGCTCATGCAACTCTCACCTTGACCTGTAATCTAAAATTCTACCTAAAGCACGTAAGAAGCTCTGCAAAATAACGGAGAGGCCATCTACCAGCTGAAACTATTAAGCCACAACACCTGCTCCAGAACATTCTCTTCCTCAAAAGGCCCTTGTGTCCCCGCAAAAAGCAAAGCGCTGTTTGAAACTGGTAGCCCTTACTGGTAGGCTTGTCTTTCTCCAGCCATACCAGAGACCGAATTTGTAATACCGCGGCAACTTGGCGGCATGCTTCCCTGCGGATACAAGGACTGCACGGTGGATCTATTACAATGCTCTTCTTCAATTGCATAATGGATTGTTCTCAGGTAGGTCGATGGAGAACTGTGCTTGAAGAGCTTCTAAAATATCATCAACAGATTTCCTGCCAAAGTTAGGTATGCTCAGCAAGTCGTCTTGTGTGTAGTCCAGCAGATCCGACACAGTATTGATGTTAGCTCGTTTAAGGGAGTTGTAGGCTTTAGAAGGAATTCGCAGCTGATCAACATAAACATGTCTAAGATCGACCTCCTTCGCACTCATCTCGGCTGACGAGTTAAACTGAGACATGGTGAACGACTTGTGCATCTTCGTAGCAGAGTTAGTAACTTCTTTCTTTTTAGGATGCAAGAAGGGAAGAAATAAATCTATCAGGCAACGAGCAGCTTCGTGAAGAGCTTCCTCCGGAGTTATACTGCCATTTGTCCATATCTCAAGAAATAAGATTTCTTGCGTTACGTCAGGTTCACTCTCGTAAGAATGAACACTATAGTTCGCATTACGAACCGGCATGAACACAGAATCTATGTAAAAGCGTCCGTCCCCAGACTTGGTATGATCACCCATGCGGTAACCACAGCCCTTCTCAACATCCAACTCAATGTCTAAAGAAACTTCTTTAGTCAGGTAAGCGATGTGCTGAGTTGGATCGGTTACCTCGAGAGAGGGAGGCAAAACAATATCCCCAGCAGTCACAGGCCCTGGCCCAATTGCAGAGATGATTGCTTTCTGAGGCTCATCAGAGTCACTGCGGATCACAAGCTCTTTCAAGTTTACCAATATGTCCATCGGTGTTTCTTCGACGCCTTTCATCGCAGCATACTCGCTCTTCACGTTTTTGAAAGTTGCGCAAGAGACAGCTGCGCCCTCCACTTCTCCTAACAATGCCTTTTGCATTGATACTCCAACAGTGTTCGCTTGACCAGACCTAAATGGGGATACAGCAAATCGACCGTAATGAAGACGCTCACCTTCCACTTGCGTCTCAACACACTTCCATTGTAGCGCACTTTGCGCATTACTTTTAAGAGTTTCATCTCTAGTAATTGCAGTGGAATTCTCTGCTCGATAAGCTTTTGTCCAAGCTAGTACGTCCTAAAATCACAAGAAATAAGCATGGAGTCAACTGATTAGCATTTTCATTCCAAGCGATACACTATACCTACAAATTGTCGGCCAAAGCATACACAACGTTTCTATCATAAAGGATGCATAAAAATACGAGACCATTTGGTAGCTCCTAAACTGATTCCTGTAATTTGGGATGCCCAAAGAGAATTCCTTAGAGGCGCAAAGATAACACTCTCTACCTCGTCGACAGGAGCATCCGCTGTCGTAGAATTCGAACCTTCTATAGCAGAGACCACTCTAGTTGGCACCAGTCTCAATCCTCTCACCCTCTTCTTTCTCGCTTGCACCTGCAAATTCACCAACCCCAATCTATCCACACTCTCGGTAAACCCTGACCTGCTCTTCAAATCCCTTGCGGAAAACGCGTCACTCTTCTTCGCGCTCTTCCCCAGCTCTGAGATGGACGCTCTGACGACCCTCACAGCATCTGCCATAGCCTGAGCGCTCATGACTGCTGCCATGGCTTATTGCCACCAGGAAACGAACCCACAACCAACTCGAGACGATTCTCCCAATGCTTCCAGCCCCAAACGTGGCTTCCAAAATCCGGCCTCGAGGGGTAGGGGATTGAGCTGAATGCGCAAAATCCCGCTACGACATGAATCTCCCCCAGCGCTGAGCAACTCTGCTTGCGAAGGCACATCAGGGCTAAAACCCTCAACCCTATCCAGAAAGTCTCTCGACGAGAGAGATGATGGATGAAGTATCATTTCTCCATCCTTCGTTACTTTATTCATCCAAAAGAAGTGATGACTGGTTCCTTTTTGGGTTCGGTATCCACAAAGAGCATCAGTGTTTCATATCCCTTAGTGTAGGCATCCATTCACATGTGAGGCTTATGGTTCAAAATATTTAGGTCTTTCATTTCTGTAAGTTTCTTGGACCTCACAATCCTTTAAATTTTTCTTTTTAGAAAATTTTGACATGCATTAAGCTTTACATTGTATGTTTTGTTAACATAATTTGTTATAGATTATAGAGAAAATATCATATATATATATATATATATATATATATTTCTTGAATATGCTCAAATATTAAGAATATCCCTATATTCTTGATAATAGCAAATGTATCCTTAAATATGATAAGATATCACCAATTTGACAAAGGTATAAGAATTTTCATGGATTCTATTAATTTTTTTATTTTTTTTTATCTTCATATAGGATCTAAACCACATGTCTTTATGACACTTGTAGGCCAATTGGTTCATAATTCAATCTAGTCACCTACTACTTAGAAAGATCAACTTCAATGACAAGATGGAGATTAATGAATAAAGCTAATAAATATTTCTTTTTGTTAAAACTATAATGCTTGAAAAGATCACAGTTGAATTACATTGTCTTAGAGTCATTTTAAGAAAATATATAAAAAGAGACTTGAAAAATATTTTTTTTCAAATATATTTATATATATATATATATATATATATATATATATATATATATATATAATTTCATATTAATTTCATAATATCTTCTAAAAAAGCTTCTTAGAAGCTTGTTAGACATTTTTTTGACTATACATGTGTTTGTAGTTGATTGGTAGGTTAGAAACTTGGTCAACAAGCTATCCATGTACTACATATATTAATAGCTTGCAGAACAAGCTAACTATGTGGCGACCATATAGAAAACTTACCTTATAAGTCAAGATATATATCATACAAAGACAACACATTTTTGGAAGTCCTATAGAATGTTGCCACATAGATTTTAAATAGATAGTATATATAGAAGCAAAAATGAAGCCTTCTTCACTCTTGTCAAGTCCTTTCTTGCTTCTAGTTTAGATTCAAGAGTTTCTAGTTTTTTTGTCTTTTGGCAATAATCATTCCAGTTTCCTTTTAATATATATATTTCTTTATTTATATTTTGTTATACTTATTTATTTACTTTCATCAAGTTCTTGTCCCTGATAGATTGACAAGAGTACACTTATAATATCAAAGCTTTGTCTTTTTTTGATTAAAAGTAGATTATCCATTTCTCTTGATAAGACATAAGCATATTAAAAGTTGTGGATTACCCTCTTTTAAACTAATATTATTCTTAGTATCTTCTTTGATGTCTAATCTTCTCTTCTACAGACCTTGAGCAAAATTAGATATTTTTTTTTCTAAGTATTATCATAATAGAGCTTATTGAAATGAAAAGTGCAATGGCACAAATGCAAAAGCAATTGAGTGAGTTAATGATTGCAATGCATCAACTCAGTTTATCACCACAAAAAGTAACAAGAATGGCAAGAAATAAAGATATAGATATGATGGGAGGTGCTTCAATATCTGTACCAAATCATGTCCCTTCTCTTACAATAGAACATCTTTCCAGTATAAAAAAACTAAGAATTACCCTAATTGAGAAGTTTGATGGCATAAGATCCAAGTTTCAAGGATTTATCAATCAAATACAACTTGTGATTGAACTTCAACTCTCAAGTTATCCAACTCTAGGATTACAAGTTAGATTCATTGGTATACTTCTTTCAAGTTCAGCATTATGATTTTCATCTTTTCTTGAATGACAAGATCTAATATTGAATAATTTGGAGGCTTTTTGGCAAAGTTTTGATCCATGTATGAAGAATATGATGCAACTTGTGTTGCAACCAACAAGATCTATATTTTGAGACAAGACAATCAATTTGTAATATTACATGGTTTATAATTTTAATAACTTGCAATTAATATGAAGTGAGATAATGTTGTTCTTATTAGCCAATTTTTCTATGGATTATAATATGAGGTAAAGAAATTAATGCTCAACTTACTTGATCCTTAAAAATTAATTCAAGCAATTGATTTGCTATAAAGTGTGACAATTGACTTTTTGAAATTTAATTTGAGAGTTGGAGAAGTGCGCCTCAATATTACTATAATTCATTGGTAACACCAACGCATCTTAAATACATATATTCAAAAGTAGAAGATATGTAAATTCATGTAGTACGTTTCAAACATCTTACTAAACATGAAAAGACTTGTTGTTGTTATAAAGGATTGTACTTATATTATGAAGAATCTAAGCACACTATTCAACATTGTCCAAAAAAGCCACGCAATTATAAAATAAGGAGTATGAATATCAAAGAAGATAATATATTAGAAAATAAGTTTATCCAGCTAGAATAGGGATCGTGCGGATGAAACCTTGTACAATACCTAATAAAAGTCCTATTCTCTCTTCAAAATCCTCTCCTTCTTTTATATTAAATATTATTTTAAGACCTAAATATTAAAAAGCCTCTACTTTGTTAAATTCAGAAGCCTTAGCATGTTTCTTAAATGAAAAATTTGCTAAAAAACTTACCATATCTTAAATGAAGAAAACTAAATATGTTCATGTAGAAATCAAAGATGGTCGTCTATTGTCTTCTAGAGGTGTTAATCACAAAATTCTTCCCATAGAAGTAATAATTAATGGTCATAATAGCTTTGTGGTATTTAATATTATTAAATCTCCTTCTAATCTAATCATTTTAAGCTTATTATGGTTAGTAAAATACAACCCTTCAGTAGATTGGATTTCTTGTACTCTCAATTTTTCTAAAAATATAACTAAGAATGTAATTAATCAAGTAAAAAATTACAAGGCTAGTATAATTAAACTTGTGTTTGTAGGTGTAAGAACTTTCTTGAATGTTCTAAAAGAAGGATCACCTTGTGTCATTTATGCCACATCCATTTCTAATAATACAAAGATTTCAAATAGCATTCCAAGCCAACATCAAAAATTTCAACATATATTTAAAAAAAAGAATGTAGATACTCTTCCAAAATATCATCTCTATGACTACTCAATTGACCTTTAAGAAAGAGTACAACCACCATTTGAACCAATCTATAATTTATCACAAAATGAATTGGTTGAATTCAACGAATATATTAAAGAAAATCTAGCTAACACTTCATATGCCATTTCAAATCTCCAGTAAGAATTCTAATTTTATTTGTAAAGAAAAAAGATGGATCATTAAGGATATGTGTTGATTATCAAGGACTCAATGTCACAGACACAAAAATACAGACTTGAGATCTAACAAGAAGTTCAAGAAGAACTGGCAAGAACTAGATTAATCAGATGAATACAAGAACAACACCAAAGAGGTGAGCTAGAGCTCCAAGAGATGTGTTGTCGAGACTGAAGAACTCTTCAGCCTTGATTCCAATATATACTCCTATTTAGGAAGCTTTTCAAGCAACTTCTACCAACTAGGAAGCTTCTAGAAGGTTCCAGAGACTTACTTCTAGAAGGTTCTAGAAACTTATCTCTAGAAGGTTCTAAGGACTATGTCCCTAACATCTTCTACTAACTAAGAAGCTTCTAGAAGGTTCCAGAGACTTGCTTCTAGAAGGTTCTAGAAGCTTGTCTCTAGAAGGTTCTAAGGACTATGTCCCTAACATCACCCCCTCCTTTAGCTTCGAGGTCTCTGAGAAGCAATGTTATTGTCAATCAGTACCAACTGAAAAAAATGAAGATCTGTCGTATAACGTCTGCTATGAACTCCAACTGTTGTTCACGAGGTAAGTGGTTTATAGGCCCTTGAAGCCAATGGTAGTGGCCCACTCTTTCAATTTCTGACCAAGCATGAACTTCCGTGTCTTCATTGTGAAATTGTCCTGCAAATATGCCTTTTGGTTGACCATCGTAAGCAGGCTCGGACTCAAATACAATCACCAGTGATCGATTACTTGGTATCCTCCGTCGTCGTCATGGTGCAGGTGGTTCTTCATCTCGGGGTCACCTTCGTGAGCTAGTTCGTTGAGATAATCTGACTGGCATAGTATGTATCTCTTGGCTATCCATATCAGAAGACCAAACTATGGCTACTGAAAAAATTCTATTTTATCTTGGAGAAAATAACTACATCAACTACGAATTTTGGTGGTGCTCTCCCCTTTTCTTATATTCTTGGGTGAGCAAGCTTCAGAAAGAAGCTATCGTCGAACCGACTTAGGTTTATGAGGATGTTGTTGATGAAACTCTTGTACCTTTTGCGGCGCATTGGCGAGATTTTTAGCTAGCTCCCACGTTCGCTCATTAATGTCGTAGCCGCACCACTGAACAAGATACTCCAACTTGCCCCACCTTCGCTATGAACCCAGTACCTTTTCAACCTCGTATTCCTCGTGGTTCTCAATCTCAATACTAGGTGGCGGACATTACACTCTTCTAGGAAAAGACGACTCTCGATAAGGCTCCAACAGAGAAACATGAAAGACTGGATGTACCTTCATAGAAGCCGATAATTCCAGACGGTACGCCATTGGATTGATTTGCTTCTGGATGATAAATGGTCCCAATCTTTGATAGTCCAACTTATCACATGGTCGCTTGGTCTTGATATTCCATCGAAGAAGCCATGCTTTATCTCCAATTTTGAAAGTAGGTGCTTGATTCCAAAATCTATCTACAGACGCCTTGTAGGATTCTTGAGCGGATTGTAATTGAAGCTTCAACGTATTTTGAAGCTTTGATAGTTGTTTTGCAAATCCTTCAGCTGCTGGATTGTTATTTGTTGATGGACTCAATAAATCAAGCTTCGGATGATACCCATAGTTGGAAAAGAATAGTGTGTATTGAGTCGACGCATGGAGGGTGTTATTATATGTAAACTCGGCTAGCGACAGATA